ATTTTGTTTCATACACAGTCTTAAATATAGAACATAAATTGGAAAACTGGAGTTTAAAAAGCAATATACAGTATTCAATTCAACTGCACTTTCACTTTCTTTTGTGCTTTAAATTTGCTGCATACAGACATTCTGATGCATAATGAGAACAAAGGATTTGAAAGCACTCAGTTAGAGATCTTCCTCTGTTTTTCTTTGTTGCAACAATAATTCTACATATTATTTCACACTATTTAGAGACCAGAAACAATCAGAATAACTCATCAGCCAAAAATATTTAGAGTCACTTTTAAAGATGTCTAAATGCTCAATTAAATTGCTCTGCATTTTGCAACCAGTTCTTTTGAAAAGCATTTCTGTATTTTGTCACTTCTAAATCTGTAAATTGAGAACCCATAACAGTGTTCCTGAAGAAGTACATTTTATTACCTTTTCTAATCCTTTTCCCCCTCATGGCAATTATATATCATTATCTTAATAAATGGTATGTAGTTATCTTAAAATGAGAGAAATTCCACTTACATTTTAAAATGATTGTTGAATGGTTAAGTTTATTGTTCTTTAGCACATCCTGCTGTGCACTCCAAGACCAAACTGTAAGAGCAACTACCAGTTGAGAAAACTCTGATGGTAATTTTTGTGGTTATTAATTTAGCTTCCCTGGACTGTATGTCTTATATCAATAGCAAAAAAAGGAAGCAATATTAATTCCTCTTAGAAAGTGCCCTTGCGTTATAACTTAATTGACTCTCTGGAAATTGTCTTTAGGAAATCTCCCATACTCTTGGGAAAAAGAGGACCGCTTAAAATATTGTGTCATCTAATTATGTTGAAAGGAAATGTTGACTTCCTTGGAGCACCTCACAAGTGGGAGGGAGATAAGTGTGCCATGAAGGGTTTCTCCACCCATGCTTTTGAGTTTGGAACAAAGGCAGAAGGGTAGTCTGGGAATATATGTGTATGATTCAGAAATAATCAGTAGAATATAATCTGTCATTTATCAGTCTGTACAATAGAATCCTTTCACTGGCATTTTTTTTTGCCTCAGTTATCTGTACCAACTGGCTATTTTGATGAGTTGTGTAATCAAACTGACAGGAAAAGACACCTCGTTCTTCATATTCTGACAGATAAATCCAATAATTTGTGTGGCATATCTGCAGATACCATGCAGTTTTTCTGCTTGGGCGTATGGCATCATATTCCTCCTACCAGGTTGCTTACAAGTTAGAAGGTGTCTCTATAGAAAAACTGGGCTCCTATCTAACTTTTCCAGGGGCACCAACTCCCCCACACCCCACAGAGGTTGCATCGTTTTTTAGTTACATTGAGAGAAATTCGCGGAGGGCAGGTGGACAGTGGTTCCTGTATAACACACTGTAGAAATGCTAGGAGTGGCTGATAGCCTTACCTATTCCCCCAGCTTTTAAGAAAGGACTTTGTCATGACCAGGCAGTTCTTAATACCAACTTCTATCTCATAGCACAGACAATTCAGGTCAAAGAAATATTTCATTAAATATATGTTTAAGATGTTTAGCAGACTCTCTTGAATATATTTTGCCCAAAGAGTAGATTTTTTCCAAGAGTAAAATTTCATTCATTAAACAGGATTTACTTACCTTTGTGCCTTATGCGTGGTATTATTGTTATATTTTTGAAGCATGGTGACCATTTCTTATATGAATAATACCCTAATTATTTTTTGGAATTGGTCAGGGAGCTAGATATTTAGATATATATTTTGTGTGAGCATAACTATAGTTAGATCTTCTATCCATTTGCCCTGCAATGATAAAAATCAGCTATCACTATAAAAGGGCCCAGGAAACTGGGAGATAGAAAGAACTCAATGTTGAGCACCCACTATGTGCCAGTGCGAGTTAAATAATCTAATACATTCCTGGTTGATAGCCTATAATTTACTTAAGAAAATATAACTTTATAAAAAGATCAGCAGAAAATTTTTTGAACACTATTGGAAATGTCTTCATGAACATTCTTGGAAGGTTCCAAATTTTAGTTTTTCCCTAGCAGATCATAATATATAATGCTCAGTGAAAATAAGCAGCAACCCATGTTTCGTACACTACATGATGCCAGTTTTAAAAATATATATACATCCTTGTGACTTATTTATTTTATAACTGGTTGTTTGTACCTCTTAATCCCCTTCTCCTATTTTGCCTATCCCTTACCCTGCCCCCAACTCTGGCAACCACTAGTTTTTCTGTATATGCGAGTCTGTTTCTGTTTTGTTATATTTGATCATCTGTTTTGTTTTTTAGCTTCCACATATAAGTGAAAACATACAGTATTTGTCTTTCTCTGACTTCTTTCATTTAGCATAGCACCCTTCAGGTCCATCCATGTTGTCACAAATGGCAAGATTCCATTCTTTTTTATGGTTGAGTAATATTCCACCGGGTATGTGTGTCTATATATATATATATATATATATAGAGAGAGAGAGAGAGAGAGAGAGAGAGAGACACACACACACACATATATATGAGATATATATATATATATATATATCATAAGATGTAATGTACAGCACAGAGAGTATAGACAATAAAATTACAATAACTTTGTATGGTACAGAATCTGTAAAATGTTTAGTCACTCTGTTGTGTACCTGAAACTCATGTGATATTTTTAAGTCAACTGTACTTCAACAAATATATATAAACAAATGAAAAAAAAGGCATAGAAGGAAATATAGCTATTTATATATGGTTATTAGCAGTGGGACAGTGGGGTTGTACATGAGTTCTAATTTTTTCTATATAGCTTTCTAGATTTTTTATATCCCATATGCATTTTATAATCAGAGCAAGTTATTAAAAAAAATACACAAAGAAAGTGAACTTTGTGTTCCAGAGTTTGAGAATAACCTCTCTCAACCTGTAAGTTAAACAGCCAGAGGCATTTCTGTTGGTTGTAGCCAGTTCTTCAGTTTTGACTGCAAGAGAATGCTAATATGCATTTCTTGTATCCAAAAGTCTGTTGAAATTTTTTATTGATCTCTCTCAGTACCTTACAGTGATAAATTCTTATACCTAATCTAGGTGGTCAGTAAGATTAACTCTGGAAGCTATTTGCCAAATTATCTTGAATTAGAACACCTTGGTATGAATTATGCAGAGAATCAAGATTTTTTTAAAAATTCTAATAAACTAATTAAATACTGAGTTAGAATTACATTTCAGACATTACTAAACAATGAACCCGCTACTCTCTTTTTCCAGACTTAAATGAGGATTTATGGGGTAATTCAAAATTTTAAAGGCTACTAAATATTAGAGTAATATGTGACTTTTTTGGATCAAGTATCTAATAGTTACTGTATGTTTATGTATGTTAAGAGAAATATTAAGGTATATTAAAAGGTCTATTTGGGTTATTTTGGAAGTCAAAGGAAGATACATTAAGAAGCAGTTGAAATAGTTGAGAAAACCATAATTCAAAAAGAGTCACATGCACCACAATGTTCACTGCAGCTCTATTTACAATAGCCAGGACATGGAAGCAACCTAAGTGTCTGTGGACAGATGAATGGATAATGAAGATGTGGCACATATATACAGTGGAATATTACTCGGCCATAAAAATAAGTGAAGTTGAGTTATTTGTAGTGAGGTGGATGGACCTAGAGTCTGTCATACAGAGTGAAGTAAGTCAGAAAGAGAAAAACAAATACCGTATGCTAACACATATATGTGGACTCTAAAAAAACAACAAAAATGGTTCTGAAGAACCTAGGGGCAGGACAGGAATAAAGACACAGACGTAGAGAATGGACTTGAGGACATGGGAATGGGGAAGGGTAAGCTGAGACAAAGTGAGAGAGTGGCATGGACATATACACACTACCAAATATAAAATAGGTAGCTAGTGGGAAGCAGCCGTGTAGCACAGGGAGATCAGCTCGGTGCTTTGTGACCACCTGGGGGGGTGGGATAGGGAGGGTGGGAGGGAGATGCAAGAGAGAGGGGATATGGGGATATATGTATATGTATAGCTGATTCACATTGTTATAAAGCAGAAACTAACACACCATTGTAAAGCAATTATACTCCAATAAAGATGTTAAAAAAAAAAAAAGAAGCAGTTGATGGATGGAAAAGCATAACATCATTGAGAATTCTGGATTTTGATAATGCCTTGTAGTGGTGGTAGATAAATTCCAGGTGATAGACAAATTTCTTTGGATAAAATAGGCACCGGAGCACCAGTAAAAAAAATTGTGAAGCAGTGAAGTTTCAATTGAACAGGTCAATTTTCAATAGTTTTTATGGGACTTAGGAAGATTGGTAAATTCTGTGAATGTTTGAGAACCAATAAATCCCTACTTAGAAAAAACTTTACAAAGGAAATATCATATAGTATCTATTCAAATATTTTCCCCATAGTTCTGGGAGAGTACTCAAATAAATCTATTCAGTTTTGCTTTGGGGGAAAAGACTACATTTTAACCTCTGACCAGTATACTTCCTCATTTCTGCTAATGACAAATGAATCGATAAAAATATACCATGTTTTATTGTGTGGCAACCCTTTTGTATGTTTACAAATTAGTTTTTTTCTCTTCTCTAAATACTAATAATGCATGTTATTTTTTATGCCTTTTTTCCCCTTAATTAATGTCGTCCTTGAGTGTCTCAATCTGTGCTGTCCAATATGGTAGCCCCTAGCTACATGTAACTATTGAGGTTTAAATTAATTAAAATGAAATAAAATCCAGAGTTCAGCTCCTCACTTGCACTAGCCACATTTCAATGCTCGATAGCCACATATGGCTAGTGGCTCCTGTAATGGATAGTGGAGATTATAGAATTTTTTCATCATTGTAGGAAGTTCCATTGGATGGGACTGATCTAAAAGAGTCAGGACAGGTTAAAAATTCTTTGGCATATTTTCTGTATCTTAACATATGCTTATATTATTTCACTTCAACTTTCCTCTTCTGTTATATCATTTTATCTTTCTGTTTTTCAGTTTAAAAGGATGCTTAATCGAGAGCTCACCCATCTCTCTGAAATGAGTCGGTCTGGAAATCAAGTGTCAGAGTATATATCAAACACATTCTTAGGTGAGAATAACAATTTAAATGCAATTTTTAAAAGTTTTTTTTGCATTGTTTGTTTTTGGAAGCAGACTGGGGTGCAAACTTATTTTGGAACTAAGAGCTAGGAATTCCATTTGTTTTCATTCATCCTATTAATAATTTGAGCCTCTAAGCTTTAGAACCTAAGGTGACAAAGTATGTTTTTTATCTTTTTGTTTTATTCAGGACTTCAGGGATTCTCTGAATTAAAGTTGTATATTGCCCGTTTTTCCAAACTACTCAACTGTAAAATGTATTTTATAGAGAGAGCTATTCATGCATTCAACAAATTCTTGTTAAATGCCAGTCATTGCTGGGCACTAGGTATTTAATGATCAATTAGAAATGGTCCCTAAACTCAATGAGTCGATAGTCTAATGGGCACCATGCCTGGTAGACTGGAGAGACAGATAAGTATAACACAAGAGCTAAAAAAAAGCTTGCTGATAATAGCTGACAGTATGGTGTACTGGGACACCACTACCCCACCCTCCATCCACAGAAAGAAAATGCAGTAAAGGAAAACCAATAACTTGAACACATCCTTGATCTGAATTTACTTTCAAAACAAAACTGTCGTAATAGCTAATTAGCACATTCACTAAACAGACATTTATTGAACACACACTCTGTGCAAGGACAAGTTAAAGGAGCTCACTGTCTTGAAATAGTGAATGAGTGTACTGAGACATCTGATGTCTTATTTGAAAACAACAATTAGCTTTTGTGAATCTTATATTTAGTTATCAGATAATATTGGAGGTACTCTGTGCTCCCCATAAAACCTTATTGCATTATTCCCCCATCTCACTATCGTATAGAAAATGTAAACTAGCAGTAGCAATCTAAGTCCTTCACATACGCTGTGTATGCTCCCACAGAATGACCCATTTCATTAAGCTGTTACGTTCACACAGTGCTGTTTTTATATTCGTGCACGAAGTTTCTTCCATTTCAAAGTAGGTATTGAAACTGGAGTTCTTAATTGGCAAGAGCAGTGTTCTCACCACTAAGTGAATTTTAAATAGGAATGAAATCGATGAGCAGTGGAAATAACCAGTGTCTTTTGCCTTTTCCAAGTCTGCTATCGTAAGTTTTTCCAAAAGACGTAATCACTGAATACATTTGATGTTAATTATTTTGCAGTGGAATTTATTTGCTTAATTTTGTGTTTGAGAGTATCAAATTAAGTCCACATCAAATTATAAATACTCAACTTCTTTAAAAGGAGTTTTACTTGGAAATATTTCCTAGAATATATACTGATCAACTAAAATACGCCATTATGCATGTTATAATAAAAAAAACCCAGGTAGAATTAATATTAAATGAAGAATTTTTTTTTTTTAATGTTTAAGATAAGCAACATGAAGTGGAAATTCCTTCTCCAACTCAGAAGGAAAAGGAGAAAAAGAAAAGGCCAATGTCTCAGATCAGTGGGGTCAAGAAATTGATGCACAGCTCCAGTTTGACTAATTCAAGCATCCCAAGGTTTGGGGTCAAAACTGAACAAGAAGACATCCTTGCCAAGGTAAGACGATTTCAAGTATCCTGATCAGAAATAGACAGTGGACTTTGATACCTTCTCTTTTAAATAAATGGAAAAGTTTATTAATTCGTGGGAGGTTTTTTTTGGAAGATGGGAAAGCCCTTCCTAAAGCTCTTTCTAAATCACTTGGGTTTTATTAATATGTGGATTTAGACAGGCAGTTTGGTGTTCTTTATTTTTGCATCTATATTTGATTCTTTGACCTTAAACAATTAAAAAGTCTTTTAGGAGAATAATTAAGGTTTTTGAGAGTAGGTTTTAACTATTGGAGAAATACTTTGAGATCGATATTTCAAGTATGTAAATGTGTTTTGTTGTCAGGGACATAAGGTTAAGCAATAAGCAACACCATTCAGTTTCTAGGATGCTTAAGCGGATTTGCCTAAAGTTTGCCTGTACTTACATGGTGCACCATTACATTTAAAATGAATTTCTTTTAATTTAATGATCTTTTCATTGAAGTCAGTAATTTTTAAATGATTGTGTTCATTGTTTCGTGTTCTACTTCTGCAATCAGACTTGTTCTATCTTTCGTTAACCCCAGGAACTAGAAGATGTGAACAAATGGGGTCTTCACGTTTTCAGAATAGCAGAGTTGTCTGGGAACCGGCCATTGACTGTTATCATGCACACCATTTTTCAGGTAATGCAGTTAAGTTCTATCACCTCTCTTTTATTTGGTGACATAACGTCCAGCCTGTGAATTGTGCATGCATTTTATCTTCTTCACTACTTACCCTCTTTTACTTATTTTGATACTTTTTTCAAAATAAGGATACAGAAAGGTTAGCATATGGATAAAACACAAATCAACTGTGTTATTTTTTCCATTGAAGAAAAAGATGTGATGTGGGCAAATTAAAGCAGTTCATTAAAATAATAGTTTAAAAAAATCATCCATGTGATCCTGACTTGCATAGAGAATGGAGTGCCACCTTTACAAATTGAATAAGCCCTTTGCTGACTAATCTTAGTAATTTCTTCAGTCACTGTCTTGTGGACTGCTCTCTTCTTCACATCGGTTTCTCATTCTTGTCAAGTTTTTGCCCCAGTTCAGTGTTAGGATTTATATGAGAAGTTGCAGCTATAGATACCCTGGGACTTGGAAGGGCAGCTCCAACCCTCGAGAGGATATTGTGTCTCACTTGTTTTGATCCAGTAGCCTTGTCAACGGTGTTGTACTGAAGCTGCCTACAGGATCCCGGGACACAGATACTTTGATAGTTGGCAGCTCATTCCTGACACCATATAACTTGAGAAAAGCATTGCTGGGCTCCAGAAGGACAAGTCGACTCTGGTTTTGCCCCTGAAGTCCCTGGATCATCCCAAGGGTTTTCATTGTCTTCACTAGACATTGAGAGAGTGCTACTCCCATTTCTGGGTTATCCATAGGCGACACTGGGGGTGATATTTTGTTGTTGTTGTTGTTAACATACTGTACGGAAAATCTTTTCTATAAGGACAAAATGTTAAGAGAATTTCTTCTCCCGCAGGAACGGGATTTATTAAAAACATTTAAAATTCCAGTGGACACTTTAATTACATACCTAATGACCCTGGAAGATCATTACCATGCTGATGTGGCCTACCACAATAATATTCACGCTGCAGACGTCGTCCAGTCAACACACGTGCTGTTATCTACACCTGCTTTGGAGGTAAGCCTGGTTTCTAAACCTTTGAAAACACTAACTTGCCACTCATAATGGTTTCTTCAACTTTTATACTGAAGGGTGCACAGGGCAAACAATAATCGACTTCACTAGAAATATTATTGAGTTATGGGAGCGAAATGTCATTGTGGTAAACAGTTGAGTCTTTGATGAATTTGTCTGTGATAATTAATCAAAGATTTAGGGGGCTTCCGTTTTGCGGGGCTTACCGCAAAAAAAAAAAAGATTTAGGGATTCCTGTGTTTTATGATACTGCTTCTTTGAAATGATCTAGTGGACATTCCACAAAGCAAATCTGGCTTCCTCAGTTTTCAGTTACTGTGGGGTTTTTTGGGAATTTAGCCTGAGGATTTTTTCATTTATAGTTCAAAGATGATTATTTTATAAAATATCAATACTAGCAATGCATTGGTATTTTTCATAGAACTTATTAGAAGGAAACACATCTTTAATGTTACCAGATCCTATGAAGTTGTTCCATTAAATGTTTAGTAAAGCAATTTGATTTCCTTCATTGTTTGGGGGAGAGATTCTCTTTGCTAATATACTTTATAGTTCAGATTGTTTCATTATAAAACTGTTAATACGTCATCGTTTGAGTGAGGGGGTGATTTTCCCTTTTACTCGTACTCCTCCCTTCCCCCAGGGACATTTGGCAATATGTGGAGACATTTTTAGCTGTCACAACTCGGGGGTACATGCTACTGGCATCTCATACGTAGAGGCCAGGGATCCTACTAAAAATCCTGTAATTCACAGGATGGCCTCCCATGACGAACAATTGTCCGGCCCCGAATGTCAGTTTTGCTGAGATTGAGAGTCCCTGTTTAGAATGGAAGAAAAGAAAATAATTGCTCATGTCATTAATTTTATGCACATTTTCAGAATATCCTTAAACATCATCTTAAATACTTTTAAAATAAGCTATTATTTTCTATAAAAAATTTGTAGATGCTCCTTTTTTAATATTTTAAAAAATATAACCAATGGAAAAGGTTTGATCATGAGTTATAATAAAATCAGATATTGTCTGGATTTTTTCAGGCTGTGTTTACAGATTTAGAGATTCTTGCAGCAATTTTTGCCAGTGCAATACATGATGTAGATCATCCTGGTGTGTCCAATCAGTTTCTGATCAATACAAGTAAGTAAAGCATACTTATTTTTGCAGAAAAAATTTTCCTTTGTACATTTTAGAATGACTGAGAGTCTTTATAGAAGTTTCCAGAGCCATAATGTTCTCTTGAGATGTGCAGATAGGCATTTCAGTGATAGCATATGTTAATGTAGTCTAGCTCTAAAAATTATTTTCATATCTCATGAGGCATATGATGTTTGAAAAACATGCATTCGAGTACTTCTCTAGAAGTAATATATTACCATATTAGTAGACAAGGGCCATCAAAAGTGAAAGTTTGCCGAAAGATGTAGATAGTTAGATTGCCCCTAAAGTTGCAAATAAAAGAAGTTATCAGAATAAACGTTAAATTCGTCATTTTCTGTAGGTTGTCATTTAATCCTCTCCAGAAGCTGTAACTCCTCTTTCACTCTCTACCACCGTGCCCTGCCCGGTTTCTTTCCCTCTCTACCACCGTGCCCTGCCCGGTTCTTTCCTTTTTATTTTATTTTTTTATTAGAAATTTCTCCTTTATTTTATTTTATTTTATTATTATTATTTTTTAATTTCTCGGCGCAGCATGCAGGATCTTAGTTCCCTGACCAGGGATTGAACCCCTGCCCCCTACCAGTGGAAGCGTGGCATCTCAACCACTGGACCGCCAGGGAAGTCCCTGTTCTTTCCTTTTTAAATCTCCTGCTGGGGGCAGTAGGGACTTCTCTTTTGACTAACTATCTCTTTTCATTTAATATTTTTTAACCATTATTTTTTTCTCACTGGTGACATTTCATAAAATAAGTCATCACTGAATTCGGAAATATAAAGAATAGTAGACTCTTCAGCGTGCGACACCTCTGACACAGCTGCATAGAAAACCTCTGTAGGGAATGTTAGTGGTGCTTGAGCTAGGCTTTTGCAAAGAGGTTAAGTAAGCTTCACAGAAATTCTGTTCTTTCGGTACTTGAAGTTAACTGGTAAATAATTTACGTGTACCATTCATTATTAAATTCCCTCACACCATGGTAGATTAACATTATAAAGTCAGTTTTATATGTGAAAAAATAAAGTTCAAGGTTGTTAATGTTTTTCATATCTGTTAAGAGTTTGCCTTTCCTCTTTGCCGTGAGTTGTGGATAATAGTCTCCTCGTGCCCCGTAGCAGTCTAGCTCTAGTAGCATCTGTGCCTTCACCATTCATTCACAACACAGCCAGATTTAAAGAGAGAATTTAAGTATAGCCTTGTTTTGAGAGATTTAACTCAGATCTTTTGGATTATTTACCTATTTGTATATTTTTAATAGCCTCTGGACTGCCCTGTAACAAAATGCACTTTAGTAACTCACTCATGTATAGGAGGATTGAAAGGCATGGATTTCCAAAAATGTGTGGATAGTCAGTACATTTTAGAAGTCTGGTTTATGAACTTATTTATCTAGGATTAGACAGGATAACATTTCATGTTTCAGCCACCTTATGAGGACCTATAATGGGGTGCTTTCAGGAGTCACCAAAACATTACTATATATTGACACATAAATATTAATATACATTAGAGGCAGCTACATGAGTTTACATTGTATCATTGGTTAGGGTCGACTGTGTCCTTTCTGTAAAGAACAGGAAGTTCATATAGTAAAAGGTACACTGCCAACTTTTTATTATCCTGGCTTGATTCATTTTTTTGATTCTTATGTGTGTCTTGATATGTTCTTAATTTTATAGATTTTAAACAAATACATATAAATTTTGATTTAATTTTTGCCATTAAGAAAGGTATGCAGTTTTTCTTTAAATTACTAATACCAAAATCAGACCTATGTGTTTTCTTTGCATCCTATTATATATAATATTGTATGTTCCCATATTATAACATTAGAATTAAGAATAGAGAACAAATTAAAACAACTGATAATAAAGTCACTGTCTTCCAAGTACTCTGATAAATTTTTCAAGATAAATGAGGACCAACTCTATTATTCTTTCTTGTGGACCCTCTAAGGGCAAATGGGCTTAGGCTGGCATCAGAGTACCCGTGGAGTCTGCAGTTTAAACTAGCAAGGCCTCAGTCCACAGATGAAGCTGATGCCCTTTAAAGTTTGAGAGCCACCGAGAATAGATAATGGAGACATGTAGGGGGTAATTATGCATACAGGACAGTGGCCAAGGGTGTCTGTTTATTAAGGTCATTTTGCTGATGACCTGCCTGAGGTGGAAGGATAACTGACCACGTTTCTGGAAGCATTTTGTTATTCAGTGATGTTGTGCAGATCTCCTTTCCATGGGGCCTCAGCAGCGCAGGGTAGTCAACAGCTTTGGATTGCTGATGTTTTCTTGACGGTGGGGTGTGATGAGGCTGTGTTATACCTGAAAGAGTGAATGAGTATCATCACCTGGTAGATGAAAGTTATCCCAAGATTGATCAGAACACCAGGGCATTATGAGAATTACTGCCTTAGTTAGCTGTTAACTAGGGATCAAGCCAGCAGTCATTTTATTTCAGGACTCAGAAGAGGCTTAGTAGCCAGTAACACAAGTAAGTTTTAGCTTCACAGCATACTCTAAGGGAGCCCCTCTAATAACTTGCAAACTTGTAATAAATAGCCTTGTGAAATACCCTATCAGAATTATGTGATTATTTTTAGCTTACAGTAAACCCTTTTTTATAGACGTTAAATTTGTGCTTTCTCTTTCTTTGGGGGATTGTTTGAGCATCAGTGGCTCAGGCTAGCACACTCTCAGCTCTTAGCCTGGAGCTGGCACTGCCAACCTGTCCAAAGCCAAAGGCTGAATCTGTGTTTCTTGTAATAAAGACTTGGAATCATCAGATCAGACTTCCTGTAGATGGGAGGTCACCTGTCCTATTTTAAGGGAGGCTGCATGGCTCGCTGTGGTGGAGGGGCACTGGGGCTCACCTGTCTGATTCCTAGGCCAGAGACACCTCTGCTTCTTAGTTGTGGGACAGTTTTCATTAATCATTCCGCTTGTATTAGTTTTAGGCACCAAATGATTTGCTGTTAATGACACGTACACTCCTTGTAAACATGCTGCAGGTTTTGAGTCAGTTAAGCTGTTATATATGATGTAGGGGAATGGGGGAGCCTGAATAGGATGTAAAGAAGTGGAAATTCCAGGTGAGAAGCTGCATAAGTCTTTTTCAAGGACAATACTATGTAAATAAATCCATAAAATGTGAATAGCATCATGAAATATTGAATAGAACACGTTAGGGGATATTTATCTTAAAAAAAGCATTTCACATAACAGCATTATTTTCTGAAACAGTGAAGCAGCATCAGAACATATATAGCGGTAAATTTTACTTGGAATACGAATACTTTCTGTTTATAGCAAAGATGCCTGGGTTTGGGGGGGAAAAGATCTCCTCACACATTTGAACACACTAGTCATGTTCAAAGCATATGACTTTTGAGGTTCAAGAGCAGAGGCATTTCACTGTATGAAGGTGGAGCTGGACCTAGCGACAGTACACACACTTTATTTCACTGATCTCATTTTAAAATAAGCTTTCCACAGCTTTATTTGTAGCTTATAAATAGAATGTTATTTTTCTGTATAAACCTAAAATCATAGGATTTCAGTCAAAATATTCTTGAACCCCTCTCATCCTCCCTAGCTTCTTTAAAATAGTCATTGAATAGTATTGGATATTTCTTTATTAGAAAAGAATATATATTTTCCACACATGAGTCAGAAGAAAGATCAAATACATATGCTTTTAGTCTTTACAGTGACTTAAGTGGCAACAGGATGAAGCACCAGTCAATTTTTTTTTAATGACTACCTTATAGGTCTGAGTCTGCTATTTATAGGAACTAGGAAAGAGGCAGGATTTGTCACTACCTAAAATAGGTCCAGGACAATTGTGGGGGAATGGCAGAATCTTCACTCTGGAGAAATGTAGGCAGCTAAACACCGGTCTCTGTGTGAAGCCCTGAGCATGCAGCTGGGACGGGCAATATACATGTGTATAGTGACTTGCCAAGATATTTGGAAAAGGAAATGGAAAAATGAATAAAGCTTGGCCTTTCAAAGCTATACTGTGAACAAAATAAGCACAAGCATGAACAAATCTGATATTGTTCATGTGTTCCAAGCTGTTCTTGTACCTTCTCAGAGTACAAATAATCCTAAGTCACATGATCTTTACATTATATACAATGTTGGGTAGGTGGTCTACAGTTGTCAGGAATACAATATTTTATGCTCTGGACATGTTGTACATGTTAGGGATAATGTCTTCTTCTGCTGAGCTTACGGAGCTGCCTCTGGCAGATCCTGAGAGGAGGTTCAAGGTAATCTGGCCTAACTCTTCTTTCCCTTTATAGCGGAGGTAGCTGAAGCCACAGAGTGAACTGACTTGCCGTGTGCCAAGAGCGTTAGAATACACTCCCAAGATTCCAGGGATCTTTCTGTGGCTACATTAACTAGCAGACTTTCTTCTAGGAGTTGTCATCTAATGGGAATGCGAGCAGAGACGTTTAGGGGAAATTGCTTCCTAAACCCAAAATATCTCAGAATATGAAGAATAAGATAAACTTAGCATAAATGGCTTTGCTAACCTTCTGTCTCTTTCTTTCAAGACTCTGAACTTGCCTTGATGTACAATGATTCCTCTGTCCTGGAGAACCATCATTTGGCCGTGGGCTTTAAGTTGCTTCAGGAAGAAAACTGTGACATTTTCCAGAATTTGACCAAAAAGCAAAGACAGTCATTAAGGAAGATGGTCATTGATATTGTAAGTAACTGATAAAAGCAAAAGCAGAACTGTGATGCATGGTGTTTAAAAAAAAAAAAAAAAATGAGATGACTATCAGGGAAGGTATCATGTATATTTCAAGATAATGCTGCCTTTTTTGTCCCAGAGGCTGGCCCTGCTGCTGGCAATGATGCTCTACTGCTAACAGTCTGGGGCTAAGAATAATGACAGCTTACCCTCATTCTAGGTTTATTTTCTGAACTCCTCCGGTCTGGTGGCAGACAGAGATGGCTAACAAAAGCACAGGGAGCTGGCTAAAAAAATGGATTTTTTCCATTCAAAAACTGGAAAAAAATTCTCTGTCAGTGGAAGTGCCATGTAGAAACATCCATGACATTAGTCTTTTCTCTATGCATGTTTTTCACAGTGATTATGAGACAAAGGAATATCTCTGGTTGTCAAAAACTTAATCTGTTAAGCTTTGTACATACAAAGAAAGGCAGAGATTATCTGGTTTGGATAAGCAGAAAATTGACCAGAATATTGTTTTTGAAATACTCTGTGAGCAACCTTGACTCACTCCATCATAGTCTAGTAACCACTTTCTAGCACAAGGGATAGAAAAACTTCAAAATGTGCGATGGGGCTTCCCTGGTGGCGCAGTGGTTGAGAGTCCGCCTGCCGATGCAGGGGACATGGGTTCGTGCCCCGGTCCGGGAAGATCCCACATGCCACGGAGCGGCTGGGCCCGTGAGCCATGGCCGCTGAGCCTGCGCGTCCGGAGCCTGTGCTTCGCAACGGGAGAGGCCACAACAGTGAGAGGCCCGCGTACCGCAAAAACAAAACCCCAAAAAACAAAAAAAGAAGTACGATGATGTCTTATCTATGAAAATATCCCTTTCTATCACCATGAAATTGGCTGCCAGTGCCTACTGTTTCTGTGTATTGTACACGTGTATCTGGGCTTCCAGGGAAAGTGATAGCAAAGGGGAGAAGACTCTGTCCCAAGAAGCAGTAAAGGATTCCCACACACAGCTATTAGGCAACAGAGTGGTTCTCCATTTCTTCTCACGTTCTCCATGATATTTTTATGTGCAAATTCTGACTTTTTTCCCCTGGATGTTTTTTACTTATTAAAATACTCTTTGTCGGGACTTCCCTGGCGGTCCAGTGGTTAAGACTTCATGCTTCCACTACAGGGCACACGGGTTCGATCCCTGGTCAGGGAACTAAGATCCCACGTGCCAAGAGATGTGGCTAAAAAAAAAGAAAAGAAAAGAAAAATCTCTACTGTATAGCACGGAGAACTCTACTCTCAATGCTCCATAATGACCTGTATGGGAAAAGAATCTAAAAAAAAAAAAGAGTGGATATATGTATTGTATAACTGATTTACTTTGCTGTACGTGTGAAACTAACACAACATTGTAAATCAACTATACTGCAATAAAAATTTTTTTTTAAATACTCTGTCTTTTAAGGTACTTGCAACAGACATGTCAAAGCACATGAATCTACTGGCTGATTTGAAAACTATGGTTGAAACTAAGAAAGTGACAAGTTCTGGAGTTCTTCTTCTTGATAATTATTCTGATAGGATTCAGGTAAAGCATTCGAATTTGCTGTGTCTGTGTGTGTGTGTGTGTGTGTGTGTGTGTGTGTGTGTGTGTACACGTGTCTGTGTGTCTAGCTTAGATAAGATTTATGTCTCCTTTTTTCCACCTTCTAATTTTAGTAGCTATAAGCAGGATTTTTATCCAAATTCTTAATCTTGAGAATTAACCAGATAAAATCCTGTTGGCCTTTTCAAGTGGAAATGCGTTAAAAAAAAAAAAAAGTAACATCCTACAAAACCAACCACTTAAGCAGCTCTGAATTTAATCAACCATACACATGAACAGTTTCTCTTATGATACTTAGATGCAGTAGAAGGGGCATAATTTGGGACTATTAATACAGGTGTGAACGTCACACAGACACACCATGGTCGAGCTGTCTGGCACGACTCTTACACTACATGTATTTTTAAGTGTCACAGTCATCTGATGTGAATTTCTAGTAAAAAAGGAGCAGGTGCTAAATAGAGAAGGTATTGATCTGTTTTAGGTCCTTCAGAACATGGTGCATTGTGCCGACCTGAGCAACCCAACCAAGCCTCTCCAGCTATACCGCCAGTGGACGGACCGCATCATGGAGGAGTTCTTCCGCCAAGGGGACCGAGAGAGGGAGCGGGGCATGGAGATAAGCCCCATGTGTGACAAGCACAATGCCTCTGTGGAAAAATCACAGGTGATGCCTTAAGCATAAAGCTTTCAGAGAGAACACAACTACACGGATCATTTGGTTACGCCGTATGCACGTCACACAGTATTTTATTGGGTTTTCTTAATTACTTTGTTTTGTCAAGCTCAATGTCCACCTTAGTGTTTTCAAGCCAAAAAATTCTCTGATTCTTAGAATTTATATTCATATAGTCATATATACGTTCATAGGGCAGTATATTCATTCATCGTGACTATATGTATATAGTATATTCATATGTGTAGAATTATTTCAGCTATCTCAATTCGTAAGTAAATAAAGTTATATGAATCCATATAGAGTACATGGCATTATTTCAGCTCTGTGGATTTACCTACGAATGGGCTATTCTAAAATAAAGTCCCAGCCTCAAGCCAAGTCCTGCCATGTAAACAACTGGAGGTTTTTTTATATCACAGACTCTTGGACTCAGAGTTTGAGAAGCTAGTTTTGACCAGCTGGTGACGACATTTTTTTTTATTGGTCTGCTACCTAAAATAATGACTGTTTTACCAAACTAAGGTTAGTAGTCTTCAGCTCAGTGTTATATTCGCAGAGCATATTATATTTTATATATTTTTCTGTAAATTCTATATATCATATATAAAAATTTAATTCAACATATCAATTAGATACATTTGAGGGGGCTCGTTAACCTCTTCCATTGTTTCTTAGTCCCAATCGGGTTTTTGTTTTTTTTTTTTTAATCAGGTGGGCTTCATAGACTACATTGTTCATCCTCTCTGGGAGACGTGGGCAGACCTGGTCCATCCTGACGCCCAGGACATTTTGGACACTTTGGAGGACAATCGTGAGTGGTACCAGAGCACGATTCCGCAGAGCCCCTCCCCGGCACCGGATGACCAGGAGGAGGGCCGGCAGGGTCAAACCGAGAAGTTCCAGTTTGAACTGACTTTAGAGGAGGACGGCGAGTCAGACACCGAAAAGGACAGTGGGAGTCAAGTGGAAGAAGACACTAGCTGCAGTGACTCCAAGACGCTCTGCACTCAAGACTCGGAGTCCACCGAAATCCCCCTGGACGAGCAGGCGGAGGAGGAAGCCGTGGGAGAGGAGGAGAGGCAGCCCGAGGCCTGTGCCATCGGAGATCACTCGCCCGACACGTAACAGGGCAGAGACTTCCATGCCTTTTGTTTGTGTTGTTTGTTTTTTTATGTAGAAACATTGTTTCCAAAGTGCATGTCACATGCCACAACTACGGTCACACCTCACTGTCATCTGCCAGGACGTTTGCGGAGCAAAACTGACCTTGACGACTCAGTCTAGCGCTCAGGAATATCGTCACCAGTTTTTTTCACCTCCATGTCATCAGAACGAGGGGGACATCTTCACGAACGGCAGTGTCCGAAGATTGCAGCTCGGTCGAGCTGAAGAAGCAGAGAAAATCAACTCCAAAGTGTTTTCTAGGGAGTGTGGCTCATGAGGCAGCCCAAAAGTTGAGATGATTTGGGGGGGGGGGTCTTTTCCTTTTGATTTGTTTGCAATATTTTCAGCAGAAAGAAGGCATTACATGGACGGAGCGAAGCAACAGATGGGTCAGGAACAGGACACATTGTGAAGCTGTTACCAGGAAGAAGATGAGCCACAGAAATTGCATAATTTTCTAATTTCAAGTCTTCCTGATACCTGACTGAATAGTGTGGTTCAGTGAGCTGCACTGACCTCTACATTTTGTATGATATGTAAAACAGATTTTTTGTAGAGCTTACTTTTATTATTAAATGTACTGAGGTATTATATTTAAAAAACTACGTTCAGAACTTCATCTGCCACTGGTTATTTTTTTTCTAAGGAGTAACTTGCAAGTTTTCAGTACAAATCTGTGCTACACTGGATAAACCTAATTTACAAATTTTACTTGCACCTTAGACTTCATAGCAATTAACTGATTTGTAGTGACCCGTTGTTTTATATACCAATGACTTCCATATTTTAAAAACAAAAATTGACTTTACGTTGCAGGAAACCCTTTTTGTAGGTCTTCGTTTACTGGCTTTTCGTTTCACTTTTTTCAGACACGCAGAGTTGCTCCCCACTTACATTTCTCTTCACCGTGTGCAAAGTGAGTACTTGTTCCATAATACTTTGATGTGCATTCTGTCTAATGTGTCTCAAGCCTCATGGACACTCAGTCATCACTTGGTGTTGTCTGAAGCAAGTGAGAGATATATAAATACCCAGTAGCTAAAATGGTCAGTCTTTTTTAGATATTTTCCTACTTAGTGTCTTCTGAGAACATTTTGCTGTGGCGATAGACCCTCATTTCACAAGTGCATGTCTCTGTGATAACCCACACATTTCATGCTCGTTTTTGTTTTCACGTAGTAAGAACTTTTCCCCCTTGTGCTGCTTCATTATCAGTGTGTGTTTGAACCTCTGTCCACATTCACTGCGTGGGGTCTTATCAGATATATCACCACCATGCTGACTGATGCAAAGAACAGGTAGTCAAGTTAGAGTTAGCATTCTTTTCTGCCATGAGGTCATATATAATGACTAGCTTTTACTTTTGATTTACAAAGAAACGTTAACAGCTAGCTAGGTAATTTTTTTTTAACAATATTAGCAGAATATATTGATGAAGACCAGTACAATGAATGCTCTTTTGTTTCTCTGATTTCACCATGGGATTAAGAACTGTATGAGGAATTTTCCTGAGAAGTGATTTTTAAGTGTGGCAATGACTCTTCCTTAAAGGACAGCCATGTAACACGTAGCACTTGATTTATCAGTTATCATTGATCCATAAGTATGTCTTGTGGAGAAGAACTTCTTTAAATACACTGACAGAAAGAAGTTGATGATGCCCCTGGCACCAGAGATTTGGCAGTATAATGCCGTTTTAAAATACTGGGCTGGGTAAGAAGATTCTGCATAAGTCAAACATTAGAGATCACTGTTGGCTAAATTTAGCATCAAGAAATGTATTACAATTTTAGAGACTGATTCCCAGTAGTTACCTTCAGTTGGCATCTTGGGGCATTTATTTAGTTTGGACTTCCTTCCCACTTCAGCTCTTAATAAAGTGTTTACCGTCTCTGTGAAGAGTTTGGAGCCCGAGTAATCATTTTTTAGAGTGACATCCAAGAACCCAAGTAGAGGCTAAAGGAGTATCAGACCAAATGGAAAATAAATAAAGCACTAAATAAAATTGTAACCCTGAAAAACATTTATATTGGGGATGTCAAAAGAAGCCATCTGGGGACTAATCACTAAGTCAGCAGCCAGGGAAATGACCCAAGCTCAAGATACTAATCCCCTGAGATCCACTGATGCTTAGAAATTTGGATAGAAAAAGTATGTAGCTCCGATCTTTCACACAGAGCACAGGATAGGAACTGACCAATTAATTATCAGATTTCCACCCTCCTTCCCCTGTAAAAACCAGACTTTCAAAGAAAGTCTTATGTTTGGCAAGTGGTTTCACAAGAATATTTGGAAACTTGTTTCCATTTTAATTTTATTTGTCCCTGATGGAGGTTTAGAGGAAACGGCAAAGAATCTAGTGTTTATTCCTTTCTCCAAAATATTCTCATCCCCTCCCCTCCCTAATGCTTGGTATTTCCCCCACAGAGTGCCTAGAATCTTAATGATGAAAAAAAAAAAAAAAATTAAAACAGCAATATGTCACAAACAAAATCCAGACCTGAAAAGATTTATAACTGCACTAAAAAAGAGAGGCTTTTTTTTTTTTTTCAATTTGTTGGGTTTTAATGGTCACAGGTTGTAAAGATATCCACTGATGGACAATCAAATTGTAGAAGAGACATAATATCCAAAAGACAGGGACTAGTGCTCTATACAATATACTTCTCCTCTTCCTTCCCTTTCGCCAAAGTGTGCTTCAGAATTATACACTGCTTTAAAAAGAATATCCTTTTACAAGTGACTTTACGTTTCCTGAAATGCCATAAGAAAATGCAATATCTGGGTACTGTACGGGGGAGAAAATGTCCAAGTTTGCATAAAACCAGTACATTTCAGCTTGCAAGTTACTAAACACAATAATGCTGTTTTCATTTTCTTTTACGTCACTTAAAATTCACAAGAAAATAATGTAGATAGAACAAATTGCAGACAAGGAAAAAAAAACTTGAATGAAGTGGATTTTACAGAAAGTTTTATGATACTCTTTGAATGCATTATTTATTTTTTGTGCCATGCATTTTTTTTCTCACCAAATGACCTTACCGGTAATACAGTCTTGTTTGTCTGTTTACAACCATGTATTTATTGTCATGTACATACTGTAATGTTAATTGTAAATTATCAGTTCTTATTAAAACATCATCCCGCAATGGGATGGTGGTGATATATTTGGAAACTCTTGGTGAGAGAATGAATGGTGTGTATACATACTCCTTGTACATTTTCTTTTCTTCTATAAAATAGTCTTGTCACCTTAGAGCTTGTTTATGGAAGATTCAAGAAAACTATAAAATACATAAAGGTATATAAAATTAAGAAAACATAGCTGCAGGTCTTTGGTCCCAGGGCTGTGCCTTAACTTTAATCAATATTTTCTTCTGTTTTGCTGCATTTGAAAGTTAGGTAGTGGTGGGGGTAGGGCTGGGCATTTTACATCTGAGCTTTGAATCTGTTGGATTTCTGGCAACAGCTGGATTTTACAGAAACACAGACAACCTCTGGAGCATTCTGAGACCCTTTTCAGAGACAAGCCCTTAAGTACTTTTTGTCATGAAGAAGCATGGCATATATGATGGTGATTTTTCCCTATCAGATACTAACTGAGCTACTTTAGTTAGTTACATTTGATATTTTATTTTCAAACACTACTGGGAAGATATATTCTTGTCCAGTGATTATAAAAAGTCTTTTTGGCTTCTAGAGCACATGGGCAAATGAATTTGATTTGAAAATAGAGCCGTAGGTCACGTGTGTTAGTAATTTATTCCTTGGCTTCCTGTCATGTTAAGGAAATATATAATATGAAAAAGGTCATTTTTTTTTTTTAACCCTTCAACTAAGATGAACCAAATTTCCTTATGTATGTAAATCCACGTATTGAAACACAAAGTTTTATATGATGCCAATTCACACGGCATAATGGAGTCACCATTCTCTAGAATCTGTTTCAGCAAAACTTACATTGCTTTAGAATTTTTAAATTCAACCTTGCACAGCTCCTAAAAGCTATGAAAAATTCCCAGTGGCCCAGCCCTCAGGATGTGTGACTTAGTGAAAGGAGAGATTCTTTTTCTAGAAAAAATGAGCCTCCTTTTATTTTCTTTCTTTCTTTCTTTCTTTCTTTCTTTCTTTCTTTCTTTCTTTCTTTCTTTTTTTTTTGACACAAACTGTAGATTTTAGCAGCCCTGGCCCAAAGGAAAAAACATCCTTACTGATTTTAGTTGTTTTTAATTTGATTTCTTTGGATGTGTTTTCAGAGTAGTAAACTGTGTGTGAGCATTACAAATGATGATTCTTTTAGTGGTTTCTTAGCCTCTCTTACAGCCCATGGGGATAGTACTGTACATCAATACCTTCATATGAAATTTTTATATGCAATGGAAATAAAAGCATGGGTTGATTCTGCCTATTTATGACTCGATCTTTTACAAATAAAAGGTTATTCATTTTAACTTGTAGTTCAGTCAGCCCAGGTTTCTGAGGGCCATGAAGATTGTTAAGGTGGAATAGAGGAGGATAGTGACGTCATACATTACTATTGATATTCACAGTCCAATGAAACCAAATTATGTAGACCGATCTTGCTACAGAAAAAAAAGCCAAAATTATGTAAATGGCCTACAACATTAAGCACAGTGTTTTGTAAACAACTTTGGGAAGGGGACTTCTCTAATTGAGTATTCTGGCATACTGAAAGTTATTCAGGTACTCCACAGTTATCTGTTGGGTCCCCACTCGGCAGACTACAAGGTTGTAAGGATTCAGCAGGGAACAAGACATAATTTCTGCTTTTGTGAGCTTACGGTCTAGAAGAGACAAAGGTATTAAACCATCCCATACACAGCATTGTAAGTGTCCTCAGTACAGCAAAGAAGCTCAGGTGCTGCAATTGAGCAGGAACCTGACCTCGGTCTCTTCTGGAGGGCCAGAGAAGGCTTTCTTCGGGAAGCGATTTGGGGCTGAGCTCTGAAGGATCGTGAGAGGTAACTTGGCAAAAAAGAAGAGCTGACACAAAGAAGAGGAGGATCCAGACAGAGAAAACATTTGCAAAAGTCCTGAGGTGCAGATGAGCTCCAGACCTTTGGAGAAATGGAAGGAAAAACACTCCTGTTCCATCACTCTTTACTCCCTCACCCTGCTTTCTTTCCTCTGTAACACTTAGCACAAATTGACACATGCATCTGTTTGTTTATTGTCCGTCTCTTCCACCAGAACATAGCTTCACGAGAGTAGAGTCTTTGCTCACCGGTGTATCCCTCACACCTAAAACGATGCCTGGTACACAGTAGTTGTTTAATATTTGTTGAATAGGGACTTCCCTGGTGGTGCAGTGGTTAAGAATCTGCCTGCCAATGCAGGGGACATGGGTTCGAGCCCTGGTCCAGGAAGATCCCACATGTCACGGAGCAACTAAGCCTGTGCACTGAGCCTGCACTCTACAGCCCACGAGCCACAACTACTGAGTCCACGTGCCACAACTACTGAAGCCCATGTGCCTAGAGCCCGTGCTTCACAACAAGAGAAGCCACCACAATGAGAAGGCCGTGCACTGCAACGAAGAGTAGCCCCCGCTCACTGCAACTAGGGAAAGCCTATGCACAGCAACAAAGACCCAACACAGCCAAATAAATAAATAAATAAATAAATAAATAAATAAATAATATTTGTTGAATATAGCCACCAAACTGATATTGGATATAATTCAATCTGGTGATCCAGACATTAGGGTTGATACCATAAAAATATTCTGGCTGTTTTTTAATTTTTGAGCTTGCCAAGATCCTGGATAAAGAGAGGTTACCGTTTTCTACCCTGTTGCTAACTAAAGACTCTGCCTCTTCCTCACAATTTCTC